GTCGATGACATGACGAGGTCGGTGCTCAACTGCGGCGTCGGAGGATCTTTAGTAGGAGACAGACCACACTAAGGGCCTGATCTTCAAAGATCCCAAATATATATAAGCGGTGCAAAAATGAAGGTGGTCTTTTCTTTTTTGTATATGGAACAAGTGGCCGTGTTGCAGGTGACCTACAAAGATCTCAGCGCAGATGTAAAGACATGTCAACCTCTTTGGTCCCGCCCATTAAACTGAACAGATTGCAAAGTGCACCTTGCAAAGTGCTATTAACAAAAGTAAAAGACAATAACACATAACCTTGCTTGGTTTTGTGTTTGCTTAAGCAAATTATTAAATGCATAAAGTATATGAGGAATTGATTTTTACATGAAGCTTATTGACAAAGTTCTCAGACTGTTTTGCTTTTTATTGCTTTAAGTATATCTTTTAAGTTGCCTCTGAATAACAGCAAGAATTTACTTAGAGCGTTTTTAGCATCTAAAAAGGAGCACAAAAAATATAAGAATATTGTTGGGGGGGACAGAAGAGATGAGGGAGCTAAGTGTCTTTCACTGAGTCAGTGACAGCCGTGACCAAAATCGTATTAGGGTCACAATAGAGGTGGTGGGGTGGAGTAAAAAAGCTTTTAAAATAAATCAATTCTGCCTCTCATTTTCTTCTCTTTTTTCTCTCCACCACTCCTCTTGCGTCTCCAGCTGTAGCAAAATGTGTACACCCGAGTAGTATGCCACAGTTATATCTTCTGAGGAGAAACATGAGTGGACATGGCATGAACAAATTACTTTGGGTGTACTGACGGCTGACCTTACTGCAACCCAACTTGGCCCCGTTTGGTCATTGGAAAATCCTGCTTGGCTGGACTGAAGCACAGGGAGTGCGCTGTTTTCTAGTTGGGGATTTCATCCACATCCTTTAGTCCCATTCTCACACCATCTCCCCCAGCGATTGCATCGTATACCAGCTTCTCACATCCCCAGCGCTAATGCCTTTTTTATAGATCATTACCTCCGCTCTCCCCTCGCCACTGTTAGTGATCGCTCAATCAGAAACACTGGCCTCTCCTGTGGTCCTTCCTGTGTGGCGGCAGCCCCTGGGAGGTGAGGAGGCTTCGATCAGGGCGCGTTAAGGCTGTTTGCTTTGATTTGATGCATACGGTCCACATGCAGTTCCATGTTTGGCGAATCGGTTGCAGCCCAGGGCAGTTGTTGCTTGTGCTAGTTGCAGACTTGTGTTTCAGTGACAGCTCAAATGTTCGCCGTTAATGAGGTGTCACGCTGTATTGTGAGGGGCTTTAAGATCTGACAAACAGACAACTTCTTGAGAGGTTTTTCCCATTTTTTGTTCCTCTTTTTCCCCATCTTATCTAATAACTTTCTCATCTTTTAAGATTCAACCTCCTTTCACCTAGATGCTGACCTCTTTACCTCACACTTTAGAGGAGAGCAATCCTGTAAACTTTGGTAACAGGTTAATCCCATTTTATTAGATGCTGGATTAATGAAGTGAAAGGGACCACAGGTGGAATGCTCTCTCAATCCTACTCTAAACCTTTAAATGATAGAGATAAACAAAACTCTTTGACCAACCTAAAGGGGCTTTTGTAAATTCTTGTCTTGATTCACATCATTTTACTGCATATCTTTCATATGAGTAAATCAATGCATGGTTCTCAAAATGTTTCACAACTAAAACTTTAAAATATATGGCATCATGTCCGTTTAGTTCATGTCTGTTAATATATCGTTAAAAACCCCCATAGGTATAGGTTCTATAAGCTACAACCTATACAAGTTGAAACTTAAGGATACTTCTCCAGGAGCTTTGAACATCTTTACACTGAGTCTCTTGCTAGGTCATCTTTGCAAAATACCCAAATCTCAAAACTACAGAAATAGCACTTCTTAAGTGTGCTTGCAGATTTCCAATTCAATTTGTATTTTGAACTTTGACTAGGCCTTTCTTTGACATGGTTTGCTGGAACCTTTCTACTAAACCTCCAGTTATAATTTTGTTGTACTGCTTTAAAGTGAACCTTTGCTCCAGACATTTTGTTTTTGTATTAAAGCTTCTTAGTGGAACTATTTCATTATTGCCCTTGATTTGACTTTATGAGTCCTCTTCAGAGCATGATGATGTCACCACCTTGATTAATTATAAGAAAATGTCCCTAGGGTGTTTTCTGCCTAACATAGTATCTCGTCTGTAAACCCAAATATAATTTTGATTTAATTTGATCTGATAATGTCTTTTCGGCTTGTGGAAAAATAAAAATGTGACTTTGTTTTTTGCTGAACTGACTTTTTGGTTATCTCCTTTATTTTGTGGAAAAAACCCCATACCCCCTTTCCTGTCAGCCTAAAAACTCAAAAAGAAAAAAAATAATAATAAAATAAAAAATAAAATCAGTTGGGTATAAAGAAAGTATCTATATGCCTAAATCTATGGTTCAATTAAAAAAATAAGACTTAAAAAAAAGATGAACTTTGAGAAACAAAGCTGAACTAGAACCATACATAGAAAAGAAGATGGTAAAGGTAAAAGACAGATTTCAAAAATTCACCCTTAAAGAATAGCGGCAAGAGTTCTTGTGTGTGATTACTGATTTGCAGTAACTCGAAATAGGGATGGGTACTTCTCACATTTGAACAAATGCGCTACTGGTGCCCAATTTTCTGATCATGTTGAACTCATCTTAAACACGATCTTTACTTACCTGGAGAAGATGCGGCTGCCTAACTTGTATTGTTATTGTCGCCACTGCTATAATTAATTGCTTCAGACATTTCTTCTCCCAGGTTGCTAGCTGCAAATAACTAGTCACTAACAGGCGCAAACATGCTAATGGATTTAAATGCATGTAATGCAAGAGAAAGTAAACTGCCTGTGATTGGCTACTTTTCAGGAAATCCTATTGCTTGAGACGGTATGGTTTTCTTCCTGGCTGTGGCTGGTAATGCTAGCGAAGCATCTTTAGGCTAATTGTTCTCTTCAAGAGTAACATATGACCTCATAGTATACAGACATCTCTGTTATCATCTAAAAAATGGTGAACACGATGCTGTAAATGAAAGGAAATGTTTAACACTCACGGCAAAATGATTAGGAACGTCTATTTTCAACTGTAGGTTGTTTAATTTTGGGTTGTTTTGACACAGAGGCTAGTAGAGGCAAGTATCCTTTAGGAACTAGCGAGCCTGACTTAGCGTGATTCAATATGGCCGTTGACTCTGACAAGATCTGGAGTTTCTTTGAGCTAGACATGTTTCACATTCTACAAAATTACAAAAAGAGCAGCGCTTTCCTAATATTACCAGCCACAGCCAGGAACAAGATGGAGCAATAGGTCTCAAGAGGTTAGATTTTCTAAAAAGTAGCCAATCCCTGGTGGTTTACTTTCTCTGGTTGGTTCCTCAAATTGACAAAATTCAACTCAAACATGCAGAACCAGATGCACTCCTGAGTTAAAATGAGGATACAGGCACAAAAAAAAGCAAGCCATTAGGTTATAGAATGAGCATGCACTCTTGCATGTGATATATTGGGGGTATCATAGTATTGACTCTGTCTGCAAAAAGGTTTCAATATACTAGTAAGTAGTTTACATGCTTGTGTTTGAATAAAGTGTTAGTATGAGTATTTAGTACGTGCATCCATATCTGGAAGAATTCTGATTTTATACACAATGATGTGTTAAAGTAATAAAACATGATCTTTTGCTTGAGTAGGAACTCTGTAGTCCTGATGGAACTCAACTAGTACCAATACAAGTACCTACTTTGGTATCTATAATTAGTGGAAATAGAAATGAAGTTTGGAAGGATGTTAAAGCTTGGCTCCATGGAGCTCAATAACTCAAAAAAAGCCTTTCCCGTCTACTGTGCTTATTGCTAGAATGTCTTTTCTATCATTTTACTAAGGTATGGTGTAATTCCATTCATTTTTCTATCATCACATCTTTGCCCTCAGAGCACAGCGAAGAAGTAGTGCTGGTCCATCATGCAGTACTTCTAAAAGGGCGCTATTTATGTTATAACATAGTAGAAGTTTTAGTGTTTAGAAACAGAACAGCCAAAAAGTTTATAGTGCATCCTGCTCCCTGCTCTGCTTAAGAATTAACCGCAGACTGAAGTACCATCACAACATTGACAAAAATTAATTTTCAGTGGACGTTATTAATTCATCGGATTAAACACATTTTTATCTAATAAAAAAATATCCACAAATAATCGTAATTTGTTTATATGTTGATGTCTCTATGCTAATCTTTGCTCATTTTAATCACTTTCTTTCATAGAAAACTTTTAAAAATGAACCGTAAAATTCTCCTTTCAATTAGGACATGTCAGCTTCTCTTTGTCACTGCAAAATGGGAAAGACAATATAACATGGATTTCATGATGGAGAGACATGTTGGTAAAGACAGTAGTTTCCCACATAAACAACGTAACATATCTATAGAGATAGAGTAAAAAGTACAGAGTTAAACAAAATTTTAACTGTGGAAACCTGGAGGATGACTCATGTATCTGTTGAAGAATTTCTAAAGGGTGTCATTTTGAGGTCAACAAATATCGATAAGAGTATTTCTACACGATTTTTTCCAGGGGTACCAATAATTTTGGTGGGTATGCATGTTAGCAACCGCTGGTTTTATTCAAAACATGCTGCAGAGGAGAACTTGAATTATTACATATGTCCTCTAAACGTTTTATAATGTTCCTGTTTTGTTGAATCACAAAGGTTATTTGAATTCTTGAAATAATATTGTAAGAAATGTATAGTTTCACAGTTGCCTCAAATTACATTACATTGTCATCTTCTCAGTAGGCTTTCTTGTATTGTTTCATTTTGTTTCCTCTCTCGAATCTCATAATGAAATATTTATTGTTTTTTTCCTCACTAACCCACTTCTTCCCTTGTTCTTTTATTAGACTTTGAAATCAAGACAGTTCTTACAGTAATTAATCTGTTCTTTCTCTCTCTCTCTCCCCCTCCATGCCTAAAAATAGAAGTGGAACAAAAAGGTAACTAAATGCCAACAACTTTTGTGTTTTTATTCCTGCATTTCAGTTTCTCTTTTTTTTTTTTTTTTTTTTTTTTTTTTGTTGCATGCTTTGGTGACGGGTTGCATATTCTGGCATACATTTTTGCTTATGTGGATCAATAAACAAGGTGTGGTTAGAACATTAAAGGTGTTAAACATGGACTTTAATTGCTTTTTGATATTTAATGTTAGCTTTTAGTGATTTGTTCATACATGCATACATACAGATAAACACACACACATGCTAATTTTTGGTGAATAAGAGGCCTAAAAACCCACCGGCTTATTGGAAGTGTCAACAACAAGTGGTATGTCTGAATAGGCTCGGTTGTTTAGCATAGTTCAGATATTTTCAATCCGGGTAGTGGGCACCTTTCCATGTATTTAATGTTAACTATTTCAAAACTGTTTTCTTGTGTTATTTTTTGCTGTATCGTCCTGGTGGGACACTGAGACTTAGAATGTCTGTGTTGTAATTGCACAAAAAACAAAAGTTTAAATTGGAAAAAAACACCTGGTTGCTTGGCTGCGGACAATAACTGAACAGATAAAAACTCTTGGTATATTAGATATATAAATATAGATATAGTGCAACATATGTCACAATTCAGAACAGAAGGACGCAATATTCAAGGCAAGAGCAAGCAGGAGTTCGAAGACAGGTCGGGCAAACAGATCAGAACAGGAAGATGCAGGCTGAGAGGTCCAGGAATCCAAAGCCATGTCAAACAAATGGATCAGAGCAGGAACAGCTAGGATCAGTGGTTGAGACTCAGAACAGGCCAACATCAGGAAATCAGGAACACTAAGGTATGTTAAAAACACTCACCACTGGCATAGGAGAAAAAAAATGTATCTGCACTGATGACTGGATATAAGCGCCTTAAATAGAGACAGAAGCAGGTGGATCAGATGAGCAGTGATGAGAAACTGGGCAGAGTTAGACAAGTGAATAAAGATAGTAATTAAGCCAGTCATTAGCACCCTGATCATGACAACATATATAAATAGAAAATATAAAATGTAGGAGCAATAGCAGCAGTAAATATATTGCACACACATAACAGGGGTTTTAAGATGTATTGGGGTTGAACACCCTAATTGCCAGGGGGAATTAAGTGTTAAAATATCTAGTGATGTTCGTGTGAATACTCTGGAACCTCCTGGCCGATGCTAATGGGGAAGACAGTGAATGCAATGTCCTGGATTGGGGTGCAGATCCCAGACCAGACAGAGATGTAGCTGGTCAGCAGGTTCCCTCAATAGAGGGGCACCTAATTATGTCTGTCTCAGACATCTAGTTTTGTATTTGAAAATAATTTTTACAGTCAGTCTTCATTTCTACATCCATTTCCTGATTTGGTGCATCCCTTGCACATGAGAAACATGATGCTGCCTTCACCATTCCTGACAGGTAATACCTGGGCTTTTCGGTTTGAAACCTCATAACTTCTTCAGATAGCACCATTAATCGCATGGTAATGGGGAGCTGGCATTGTGAATCTCTGTCCTTGGTTAAGAAGCAGGACAGACATTTGGACACAACTGGATGTTTCAACAGGACAACATATCAAATACACTTCATAGCTGATTTTAGAATGATTAAAGTAGAATTTATTGACCAAACCTAAACCCTAGTCAAATTATGTGAATTAAGACACAAAAGAAAGTCCTTGCCTATTTAAAAGATATTTATCAATTCTAAAGAGAGCAATATAAAAAAAAATCAAAGTAAAAGAACTATTGAAGTGAATCACAAAAAGCCCAGAACTAAAGTGACCTTCATGTTCCTGATTATTCTTGTCTTATAAGAGGTTATTTGAAAGTAGAATCTAAGAATTGTTTAAGAAAAGTATTTATTTTTACCCAAATTATTCTCATTTGTTTGCAATACCTGCAATTTTCAGGACACGAAACAGTGGTTTTGACATAGCTACACATGGGAAATAAACATTGCAAACTGTTCCCTGTGGAAATTCCATAATGCTGACATGTTTTTATTCCCTGTAATAACAGAAAATAATTCTGGCTCTGCTTTATCAGCTGCATACTATTAAAGCAGAAAGCTATACAGCGTGATCAATAGCTTGTCCGATTAGCTGTCAGCATATTTCAGATACCTCTAACGTGATGATGGCTATAACCTTCAGGGACTCGCACGTCAATACAGGAGATAGATTATTGCAGTTGCAATCTTACATTATCAGCAGTGTATGAAGCTGGAAGCTTCTGAGAGTTAAATGAAAGCTGAACTGAAGCCGAAGATGATAATGAAATCAGACTTTAATAGTTGTGCAGTACATTTTAGGGAGAAATAAATGTGTTCGTGCCTGGAAACAATGATGATTTCTTGCTCCTTTAATATCTTACACTCAGAGTCTTCGTTTTAACAGTGATATCATTAGAAAGCTCTTTTCTTTCACAACCTACACTGAGCCCAGAGTGCTGTCAGAACAAAGCATACAGTCTCTGACCTTATAACCTAGCATGTCTTGAGTTTTTTATTTTTATTTCATATCACCCAAGCAGACAAAACTGCTCCCTCAGCATTTAGTGATGCAAACGCTGAGATGTGTGTTGAGGCACTGTGTCACCAGGATGCATCTTGACACGTTTTTCACCCTGCAGGAAGACAACATGTTTAATCTTGGGAGATTACATTGAGGGAGAAAAAGAGGCCTCTGTTTTTACTGTCTCCTCCCCCCCTTTCAGAGCGGGTGGCTTGCATGAGCTCAAAGCTGTCAGCGCTCTGTCAGGCTGCTGCCCCATTTTTACTCAAATCAGCCATCTCAGCTCACTCACACACACTCTGGGCCCAATCATTATTTCATTTTGTCATTTTTCTTGTGCTGAATATTGTATTTATAAATCTACATTTTAAAGGGTAATTTACTGTGACTTTGCTGCCATTGTAACTGAGAATTCAGATGTCACCTTTTTAGAAAAGAGAAAATTGCTATTGCCTCAGTCCACCAGTAATCAATAGGTAACTGAAATTGGCTTTTTGCAAATGGTGCCTTCTATTGACCACTCTCAGCTGCACCGCCATGGCCTTGCTTGATCAGACTGGAGCACAAACCAGTTCACTTATAATTAGTTTAGTGTGTGTGTGGGGCTGTAAATCATACCTCAGATTTTAAAATGACATTTAGATGAAATAATGGAAAAGCAGTCATTATAGAAATGATGTCATTTTTATTTATTTATATTTACATTTGAATCATTTTCTTTTTCTCAAAGAGCCTGGCTAAGCCAATAATTGCTGCACAGCCATTTATCAAAATTTGGGATTTCTGTGTTTTTTGTTAATGCTTTCCTCTAGACTCCCTCTTATAAGGAAGCACAGATTTAAATGAAATCTTCAATGCCTCCTTTTTACATTTGTTTTCGAACAACAGTCATTTCATGTAGAGGAGGAATGAAAAAAATGATTTTTGTTTTTGTGTGTAGGCGAGTAATGGTGCATGTTGTTGGTTTTAACACTGTCTCTGACTTCTTTGTGCTCATGAAGTCAGGAGATATAACCTTCACTAAGTTTATTATCTCCTTTGCAAACACGTTGCCACTTTGAGAAACACTATTGATAATTTATTTTAGGGTCAGGGAAAAACTTGAACTAGAAATATTCATTCTGCTGCAAACAGTAAACAATAGAAAACTGCAGTGAGAAAACTAGTGACAATATCCAGTATAAATTGTACTCTCTTTGTTTGTTTTATGCTTTTAGATCACAGTCATTGTTTCCAAAAAGATAATTTCAAATACAAAGCAGTATTTATAAATTTTCTTCACATTATTAGCTATGTATAACCTTAAGCAGTTTTGTATTTTAGTAAGATTCTATGCAATGATCCATGATTTTACAGTATTTTCAAAATAACATACATAAACCATCTGCATCACTGATAACAAATAACAGAAAAAGACAGGTCAGTGATAAAGTTGTTGAGAAGTTTGAAGCAAGCTAGGCAAGAAAGTGTAGGATAGGGTACATTGGCAACCTTTAAACATACCGCACCGACTTAAAACAGGACAAGGACAGCATTAATTAAAGAAGCAGACAGGCATTTCTAGATGATCTGCATATATCGACAATAAGGAGGATTTGAAAGCTGTTCTAAAATATTAAAACAATTACATGAAATCCTGTTGTAATATGGTAAAGCTTGTGCTGGACATGTCAGGGAGTTATCTGTCAAAGCTGAGAACATAACACCCAGTTTTTGAAGGAGACAGACGGATTTCCCAAAACCGTTTGTTAAGAAAACTGATCTGCAGTGGTCTAAGGCAGTAACATCTGCAGGAAAAGAACACAGGTTAGTGACTACGTCTGTCTGGGGGAGGAGGATAATGAACGTACGCGTCTCTAAACTGGCCTTATAGTTCAGTCCGTGCCCAGAGGATGAGGTTGGTTCCAGCCGGTCGGCTGCCGACAAGACGCGGCAGGTGCTGGACAGAGATTTCACAACAGTAGAGTCCCGTACGTCTGAGGACAGGCAGAAGATCAGAATCAAGCAGATGAAGGAAGGCAGGATAATCGAGAGGGCAAAGCCAAAGCCGGTGTGGAGGACGTGCTTAGGAGTCAAAGCCAGGAGATCAGAAGTACTGAAAGACAATCCAGATCGGTGTCAGGTAGCAGATCCAGGTTTGGTCAACGGGCAGAATCCAGCAGGATTCCGAGGACAGGTCAGGCAAACAGATCAGAACAGGAGCAGCCAGGCCCAGAGGTCCAGAGGCAGAACAGGTCAGGATCAGGCAAACAGAAACACTTAGATACACTAGAAAACTCTCAGCAAGGGCTTGAATATTCTGGCACTGTTGAATGGTAGAAGGCTGGTTAAATACAGGCTGGAGCAGGTGGGTTGGATGATTGGTAATGAGAGACCGGGCAGAGCTAAGCTGTGAATGAAATGAGTAATCAGGCTAGTCATCATCCCCAAGATCATGTCAGTATCACATGTTTTGTGGGCATTGGATATTCTGCATATTTATAGGTATACAATCTACAGTTATTTTATGTCCTTGATGTACTTTAATTGAAGCAATTCCTGCCAATGTAACTCTGTGATTGTCTTTTTCTATTTTTGGCTCCTTAGTATTCCTGTGCCCAGGGCTTCTACGCAGGGTATACCAGAGCGAGCACCTTTTTGAATCGGACCACCAGTCCGGAGCCTGGTGCAAGGACCCCCTCCAGGCTTCCGATAAGATATACTACATGCCCTGGACCCCCTACCGCACGGACACCCTAACTGAATACTCCTCCAAGGAAGACTTTATTGCTGGAAGGCCAACAACAACCTACAAGCTGCCACATCGCGTCGATGGTACTGGCTTTGTGATCTATGATGGGGCGCTGTTCTTCAACAAGGAGCGCACGCGCAACATAGTAAAATTTGACTTGCGAACTCGCATCAAGAGTGGCGAGGCTATCATACCAAATGCCAACTATCATGACACCTCTCCCTACCGCTGGGGGGGTAAGTCGGACATTGACCTAGCTGTGGATGAGAATGGACTTTGGGTGATTTATGCCACTGAGCAGAACAATGGACGGATTGTCATCAGCCAACTAAATCCCTACACACTCCGAGTGGAGGGGACCTGGGACACAGCTTATGACAAGCGCTCAGCATCCAATGCTTTCATGATCTGTGGGATTCTCTATGTGGTAAAATCAGTCTATGAGGATGACGACAATGAAGCTACAGGAAACAAGATTGATTATATCTACAACACTGAGCTCAGTAAAGATGGCTTTCTGGACATACCTTTTCCCAATTCATACCAGTACATTGCAGCTGTGGATTATAATCCCAGGGACAATCTGCTCTATGTGTGGAACAACTATCATGTTGTCAAGTACTCGTTGGACTTTGGAGCGCTAGACAACCGAATTGGTAAGACCAATATTATTTATTTATTTATACATTGCACACAGCACCGAAGTTTATTATGAAATGATGCTTTTAGATCTGATATAGACAGTGTGACTCAAATACAAAGCCTTCCCACTACTTGATGGTATTCAGTTTATATGTATACTAAAGATGCCATGATCTGAGGATTGCGGCAGATTCCCAGTCGTATGTGCTATTAATGCTCTGACCTCGTGATTCTGATATAAGCCAGTTGTAATTTCTCTCTGTGAATTACAATATAAGAAGATATACTTTTTCTTATCTGATACTCCATTAATTATTTTCCTTTGTAGCAGAGCAACAGTGTAAGAGAGTTTGTAAAACAGGTGATTAGCATTACCTTAAAAATGGTTTTCCTTGCCATTTTGGACACTGTCATATTGGCAATTGTTATCCCTGTCATAACAATTGAAAAAAAAAATGTAAACATATCCAGCTTTTAGCATTTAGAATTTGCATTACATTGGCTTTATTCCATCCTTATATTTGCTCAAATAGGCATCCTTTTATAATGGCCAAAATCATTAATGTTTTAGTGTTCTCTCATCAGAAAGTAAAACATTTAGGCCAAAGTGGCCCATTTACAATTCGATGCATTTGTCATTGTGGACCCTTTTGGAAATACTACTACATACTGTACGTGTTTGATAAAAAGGTTACAAAATCCTAAAACATCTTAAAGACAGCTAATGCTACATTATCAGGCCCATGTAAAGACAAAAAAAAAGTCAGTTGACCAACAGCTCCGTTTTCATTCAGTTGCGCATACGCAGCAGCCATGAAGCTTCCCATAAGTGAAAATATCTTGGCTCTGTTCTGCACAGAATATTCTATCTTTTCCCCTGAAATGGTGTCAATATTGTTTTCAGCTCCTATAACAGCGTAATTTAGTAATGCTGTACTCACCACAAGTTTCTAACATGAAATAATCTCTTTCAGTTAAAAGTTTTTATTAATGTTCGCAGCACTCATGACAGCACTCATTTATAGATTAATTTTAATTGCTTTAAGATGAGTTTGAAATCTTAGCAGGCAGCTGATAAAAATTAGGATTCTGCAGAAACAATTTTTACTTGAATATATTCCTCTGACAGCTGTTTTCCTTCTTTTAAATGTCTAAAGAACAATGGAAAGAAAGCATCAACGTAACTATAAAGTATTTTTTTGGGTTGGGTCCCCAGGGGATTTCCTCTTTCAGATTTTAGAACTTCAATCGGCACTCAGGCAAAATCATCTTTTCAGTAGTGTTGTGAGTAGACTAATCAGCCTATTTGGGCTCTTAGAAAAGATAAATTATTTTACTTGCAGTGTGTTGTTTTTTTTGAGTCTGTGTCCAAATTATTCTGTGGTGGTGAATTTTCTGTAGCTCTCCTTACTTATACTTTGTTAAATGTATAGGAGAGACGAAATTAAAAGCAAAATATTTCCTTTTTTAAAAAGAAAAAAGACTTAACATGGATTAGGTGTATTTAAACCTATGCTGTTACTATAGGGAAAGTATGGAAAGATGATCCTGATTATACTATATTAATTTAAAGTGTCCTCTACACTTAATTATTTACCCTATGCTAAAGATTATGGCTGAATTATTTTGCCAAAATTTAAATTGTGATTATTTTCAATAAATATTGTGATTACAATTTTCCTTTGCAATAAACACAAACATGCACATATTTAGGGTCAATTGTTTCAGGACTTTACTGTAACTTTTGTGTGAATAAGTGCTTACTTCTGCTATCATGCTTGAATCTGCATGCTAGCTGCAAGTCTCTCTTCCCTTCTGTGTGGCAAAAAAAAACACTTTAACTGTATTACTGACACCTAAGTGACTGGAGGGGGAAATTCAGCTTCTTCTGAAAACATTTTTGTTGTCAAAAGCACTTAAATGCTTAAACTTGGGCGCTGGGTTAAACGCTTGCCAAGATGCTTTGATGCTCAATGCTCTCGATGCTATGTGCTCTAATTGTATATTTTGTTGTAAGCTATAGAGCAGCTTGGCTTTATTTACTTTGATGAGTTGGAAAAAAATAGTTTGAACACATTTTGAAGCAAGAAAGTCAACCTCAAAACATAATTTGTGCATTGAGTTGCTCATTTAAAAATTCCCTGTATGTTAGTAGATCACTGGTGAAACTATTGAAGGGCCATTCTTTAACATGGGAGAGAGAGAGTACAGAAAATGCCCTTTGAGGCAGAAGATGAATGTTGATTATCAGAAAACATTACAGGAAATAGTTACTCTCCTAAAAACAGCCATATTCACAGTCATAGTAAAAACGTGGTTGCTAGCACGTTTAAGGACTGAAAAAATATATTTTATAAAGTTCAGATTAGTCCTATGAATATATTTTAGCTAGGGAATTTCTGATCCTAATCAAATAATTTGTTAATAATGCATCTATCTAATAATGTAAACAGATCAGTTCTCTCTTTTAAAGTTTGCGCTCGATTACTGTTGCCGATGAGGCATCTCTAGATTAACCAGAAAGCCCCACAACCCCAGCATCTAAAAGTCACAACCTGTGCTTTTTTTGCAGAGATTAAGTTTATTAAGTCTTGGCTTCAAAATCATTTTCTCATATAAACACAGTTGGTAAAAATGGTTTCCAGATGTTAAGGTGAAAAAAAAAAAAAAAAAAAAGCAACAACTGAAATTTGCTCAATTTTCTCTCACCAATCTCTTTAGAACTTTCTTGAGTTTAATTTCCACATTCATTTTATGAACCAGAGCACGTTTTTAGGCTTAAGAGGAAAACAAAAACAGTTTTGACACACCAAGGTAATTCTTTGCGCTATCTCATCAACAGCTTTAGTCAAAAATGTCACAAGTTATTTGACTGTGAAATTCCTACTTCGGTTTTTCTTCTCTTTTTTTTTTTTTTTCTACCTTCAAGCTGGCAGGTGAATGTATTTCCCTCAACTTGCAGCAACGTTTTACCTCAATCATCCATTTTTCTTTTCTTTTTCTTTTATTATTTGTTTCTTTTTAGCACACAGTGTTGCTTTAACAAACCCAATAATGTATTCATCCTTTCAATAACCCAACACAGTTTTTGGTTTTTGAGATATATATCGTTTCTGCGTTGTTGTAATTAAAGAGAGTGAATAGTATGTTAATAGTATGTTGTTTGAATATTCAGCTGAAAATGGTTTAACTGCTGTTATCTAGATCTATGATTATAGATAGTAAAATGATGCATTGAGTAGATAGATAAAGTCGGAAAATAATAGTTAATAATTAAAAGGACCACTATATGATTAAACATTCATTTAATACTCTTTCAGACTTATTCTAAGTACGCTTAGTGTTGTTAACTCTGCACATTATCACCACACTTATCTCCTTAGATGCCTAATTTTGAAACGGCAGGACAATTACAACCAAATTGTTTGAAGCAGTGTCAGTTGTCTCATTTCACTGCTCACAAATAAGTCTGTATTTGCAGCTGTCACATTGCGTTTGCTGCTGAGCTGACAATGCACAAAAATCACAAATGAGGCTAAAAATTCTGATGCTAACATCAAGAGGAATTTAGGAAAACCCACTGTGATTATTTACATGTGTTACTGTCACTTAGCAAGGCCCAGAATTTGACTTGAAAGAGCTAACAAGATAGAGAAGCCTAAGTTAATGTAGCATCTTCCTTTAGGTGCCTGCAGGAGCTTGTGAAATTTGATGCGGTGTCATGATCACAGTGCCTGTTATCACTTACCAAAAGGTGTTGTTGTTGTTCTGATTGGGCTAACGTTAGCTCATTTCCAATTGTGCTTCATATTGCGTGAGCACACGGCTGACCTGCAATATCAGTGGAGCGCACTGGATGATCAGCAGAGCAGGAGAGAAGAGAGGCTGGCCCCACAGCTGATGCCAGGGTTTCACAACAGGCACAGCACATGCTGTTAGGCATGGGCACTCTGATAATATTTGTATCAAAACATAGAATATGGCCATATCATAACAGATACATTACAAAATAATCCTGCCCTCCTTTTTAAATTAATTTGATTATGTTCTTCTTTGCATTAGCTCCCATATCTAAGGTTACTATTACTTTTACCTGAGAGTCACTAGGTATAGTGATTTTACTGATCTGAAATTTTTTTTAAATATATAGTTACCCAAAAGCTGGATGCCGATCAGGGCAGATTAAGGTATCTTAAAGGCATAGAGAAGGATGCTCTTTTTCTGGTTGGATCATCAAAATAAGTGCGCTGTTGATATGTTTATGTAATGCTGTCCTACGTGGTTGTCCTTATTTTCACTTATTGGTGATGAGTCTGACATAGCGGAAAAATTGCAAACCTTCTTTTGGAATATAAGCTTGTGTGAGCGATGCAAACAACAACTTTTAAACAGAGTGTACAATGGAGAAATCGCCTTGTGCACGCTCTTGCACACGTTTAATAGGCATTCCCTTTTGGGAACAGGTAGAGAGTTTTTTTTTTTAAGTGGAGAGGGCGGGTCTTTTCAAATTTTCATGAAAATCCTCCATTATACCTTTAAGGTTCCATTTATCAGTTTATTTCTTGGAGCATTTCAAGCCCATGCGTGAATGCATACTGTTCCCAAAGCAATTTTCCTTAAATTTGTTTATAAAAAAATTAAAGGACATGAAGAATCATGTGGAAAAAAACATCCACAGATGTTTTAAGTTACCGCTCTTTGCTTGTTTGATTACAGCAGATGATTCTCCATGTTCACCTTTTTTTGATTAATACTCACCTCCTCCGTCTATGCATGACTCACCTCATACCTGTCCCCCATGAAGAGCCCCGCTTCATTTAAGAACGTTAGGCCCAGCTGAATAGCACAGTGAAAGCTACATACAGCTTCAAATATAGCCAACTGTGTTGGCTGTATGTGAAGCTACATTT